CGAGCTGGGAGAGCTGTTCGAGGGAGCTAACACTGCCGAGTCTGGGGAAGGTCCGAGGGGGACCAAATAGATAGGAGTTTTTCCTTTTTGAGAAATGTAATAAGGCCTATGGCCACTAGTGACATTTTATTTCCTGTTATTTAGTGTCATTTTTTGATTCGTCCTTTTTATCAATAAAATGAGGCATTTAGCATTCTAAGTTCTCCAAATTAACTTGTCGCTAGGCCTACCTCGGGCACAACGAGGTCCCCAAAATTAGGACACGCTTTATATTTCTTGCACTACGTGTTTAAATATCGCAACATTTTTTCCTTATGATCCTTACTGACTTATCACCTTTTGTTTTTACTTTTTGATTATTCCCCTCCCCAAAGGTTAGTTCGTGAACTCTTGCAACATCAGCGTATTTCACAAGATCCCGGGGCCCTCCACCTACTCCTCCTCCCAGTCCTGTCAGGCACAAAAGCAAAAGAAGAATGGAAGATCCAAACAACTTAGTTGAACGGGTAGAGGTCACTCGTGGTGCTCTGGTCCCCAAGGAAAATACCTGTCAACTAGAACAGAAACTATTGAAGTTCCAAGAAGAACTTGATCAAGTCCGGAATTTGGCGGGTCTGTCATTTTCCCTCACCACTCCAGAAGTTACTTTCCCAAAAACTCAGAATCCCATACCTCCACAAAATATCCCAAAGCAACAAAACCATCCCGCTCCTCACCACCACTGCAATACTTGCCACGATCCCAACAATACTCCACTACTCATCCCGAAACCTTTGAACTCCACAAATGACCACTGCCACACCTAACACAACACCCCATCTACGTGGAGACCGTGCCACACTCCACCCAGCCCATCTCAAGCACACCCGAGTCCGATGATAAGGACTTGCTCATCAGAAATCTGGCCGAAGAGCTTAAGAAGTTGACCACCAGAATTCAAGGCGTTGATGGAAGTAAGGGAATTGAGGGGCTAAACTATGAAGATCTATGCATATAGCCCGATGTTGACCCGAGGGGTACAAACCTCCCAAGTTCGAAATGTTTGATGGTACAGGGGATCCCAGGGTTCACTTGAGAACATACTGCGACAAGCTGGTCGGAGTAGGAAAAGACGAGAAGATCTGCATGAAGCTTTTCATGTGGAGCTTGAAAGGAGATGCTCTGTCTTGGTACATTAGTCAAGACCCAAAGAAGTGGTCAAACTGGGTAAGTATGGCGTCCGACTTCATGGACAGATTCAGGTTCAATATGGAAAATGCACCGGATGTGTTTTACATTCAGAATTTAAAGAAGAAACCCACAGAAACATTCCGCGAGTATGCCACTCGTTGGAGATCAGAGGCTGCTAAGGTCCGACCTGCTTTAGGGGAAGAACAGATGAACAAGTTTTCGTCCGGGATCAGGATCGCAATACTATGAAAGACTGATGCTGATTGAGAACCATAAATTTTCTGACATCATGAAGCTAGGAGAAAGGATTGAGGAAGGTATCAAGATTGGTATGGTTACGAACTTTGAAGCCTTGCAAGCTACCAATAAGGCTCTACAGTCTGGTGGTACGTTCAAGAAAAGGGACGTAGGCGCCGTGATGGTTGCACAGAGAACCAAATCACCTGTCAAATACCAAACTTATCCGATACCTCCACTTACATATCAGCCCACCCCAAATTACCAAACACCCGCACCTTCCTACCAAACTCCACCGCCTACTTATCAATCACCTCCACCTCCTACATACCAACCTGCTTCACCCATATATTCCAAGCCCGCACACGTCTACCAAGCTTACAACACTCAATAATCCCACTATCAATCACCTCCCCCTCGTCAAAACTTTCCTAGACCTCGATCAAGTTTCGATCGCAGACCTTCCAAACAGTATACCGCCATTGCTGAGCCAATTGACCAGCTGTACGAAAGGCTCAAAGCTGCTGGATATGTCACCCCTATCCCTGCTATAACCCTTGAAAACCCTTCCCAATGGGTCAACCCAAATAAAACCTGTGCATACCACTCTGGCATGAAGGGGCATACCATTGATGAATGCCGCTCCCTGAAGGATAAGATCCAGGCTTTTATTGACAACAAGATCATCGTGGAGAAGGAGCCTACTCCGAATGTCCGCAATAACCCTATACCAGACCACAAGGGAGGAAGTGTTCACATGATTGAAATAGAGGATGATTGGGATCCCAAAGGATCAATCGGTTTGATCACAAAAGGCGACGATCCAAAGAAACCAACAGTCACCCTTAATCCGATTGTAGTCCAGATTCAGCCTTCTGGAGATGCCGAGGTGAACATGTCCATACCACTTGAGTTTGAAACACCATCCTCCGCAAAGACGCCAACACCAATTGAGGTCGAGTTTGGGTCCCCAAAGGCGCCTGTACCATTTGAAGTTGTTGTATTACCTTCCAAAGCAAGGGTGCCCATTCCAGGAGCAATGACAGCCGTAACACCATTCCACAGAAAAGCCATACCATGGGACTACACAACCGAGGCAAGAAGGAAGGGGAAAGCCAAGTTCGGGGAAGCAGTTGCGGCACAGGATATGACAAGAACCGGCAGGATTTATACCCCAGAACACTTGGCTGAGTCGAGTAAGCAGACCTCTGGTCGAAAAGCCATCACTGAAACTGGGCCCGATGATCTCTGGAGAAAGATACAAGCGAAGGAATACTCAGTCATTCATCAGCTGAACAAAACACCGGCACAAATTTCTATCCTTGCTATGCTGCAGAGTTCCGATGCACACAAGAACGCCTTGTTAAGAGTGCTGAGTGAGGCATATGTACCAAGCAACATCACCGGTGGAGAGATGGCTAACATGGTAGGTCAGGTATTGGAGAGTCACAAGAGCAGTTTTCACGAAGATGAGCTGCCACCGGAGGGATTGAGTCACAACAAGGCATTGCACATCACCGTGCAGTGCGAAGATTATTTTATCACCAGAATCTTGGTCGATGGGGGGTCCAGTCTCAACATTTGTCCGTTGGTAACACTCAGGACGTTGGGAAAAGGGTTGCATGAAATCAAGGACGAGGCCATCAACGTTAAAGCTTTCGACGGTTCTCAAAGGTCTACTATTGGGGAGATTAGCTTATGTTTGCAAATGGGGCCAACTTGGTTTGATGTTTATTTTCAAGTAATAGACGTGCCGGCGTCCTACAACCTGCTATTGGGACGACCGTGGATTCATGCCGCTGGGGCCGTAGCATCAACACTATATCAGGCAGTGAAGATTGAGTGGAATCACCAAGAGGTGATCATTCATGGCGACGGTAGCAATCCCATATACAGTCGCCAGACCATTCCAGCAATTGGAGGAAGAAGAAGGATAGGTGGGGAAACTTACCACCACATCGAGAGAGTCAACGCCGTGGATAAGAATAAGTGGTGGGGCAACAAAATTGAAAGCATATTGAACTGGAGCGGGTATGAACCTGGCAAGGGACTTGGCAAGAATCTCCAAGGAATCGCTAAGCCCATCAAGCTCAAGAAACACGGCACCGCCTTCGGATTGGGATACGAATATACCTGGAAAGAATTCAATGAATGGTCGCCACCCTGACGTGGTCCTTACTATCCATTGGAGCAGCCAATACCACGCTTGGAACATACTTTTCAACCGGCCGAAGTTATCTATGGGTCAGAAGAAGAGGAAGCACCGGCAGCAATGAGGAATCTGTTCCTAGAAGACGACGATATGGATTGCTGTGTTATTTTTGAGGAGGAGGGGGAGGAAGGCCCTTCTATACAGGCGGTAAGCAGAGAAGCATGCCTCAACAACTGGACCGTCCTAACCACCAGAGTCCGGTGTGCCTCGGGGTAGCAAGGCTGAACAAGCACCATGCACTATTTTATTTTACTAGTTTACTTTCCTTTCGTATTTTTTGTTTTTGCAAGAAAGAGCTCCAATGTTCAAAACACTTATGGAATTTATCAAAGCACTTCAGTTTTCTTATAAATATTACTCTTATTATTTTCTCTCATTACTTTACTTATACAACATTACTATTACTTATAATGATGAACCAATGACTGTGACATGCAACGAGACAACGCAACAAACGGACTTAGATTCAGAAGAAGATGATATACCGGAGGAGATTGTTAAGGAAGTTGAGGATTTCGAAAATAGGCCTAAGTCCAACATGGACGAGACTGAGATTGTTAACCTGGGAGATGCAGAAAACATCAAAGAAACATGAATCAGCGTTCATTTGTCATCGTGAGAAAAGAAAGAACATATGGAGTTTCTAAGAGAGTATGAGGACATATTTGCCTGGTCGTACGACGACATGACTGGTCTGAGTACATCTATTGTGGCTTATAAATTGCTGACTGTCCCGGCCTGTCCGCCAGTAAAACAGAAGCTCAGAAAATTCAAGCCAGATATGAGTTCGAAAATCAAGGAAGAGGTCACTAAACAGGTCAAAGCTAAGGTTCTCAGGGTAGTAGAGTATCCAACATCAGTGGCGGCAGGATATTTGCGAAGGGGGTTCAAAAAATTTAAAAGTCAAATACACAATGAAGCTAGCCAACCAAAACCAAAAAAAATAAATAGATGCTAACAGATTTTATTAATAGAAAGAGAAGTTCTCAACACAAAGATAGTGTTAAGATAAACATATCATAGTAACAAGACTTTCAAAAGAGAAAATACAAAAAACAAGTCTTGTGTTAGTTACAAGGACCTAATGACTAATGAGATCAACAAAAAACAACTAAGTACATTATTACAACTGCACTCGACGAGGTTTCATATCTTGAAATGTTTTAATAATAGCATCATTACAAATACTATCAAACACAATTTTTTCTACATAAGGCACCAAACAACCGCTAAAGAACTCATCATTCATTCGACTTCGTAAGTCATTCTTGATAAACTCCATCGCCGAAAAAGCTCTTTCAACGGATGCAGTAGCAACGGGCAGAAGCAAAGCAATTTTCACGAAGCGAAATACAAGAGGATAATTTGAATGCTTCTTTGTCTAAAATAATCTTTTTGAAAGATCACAAAGCCCATGTAGATCGGAGAATCTTTCATCAACATCACGAACATCAATAATATAACATGCAAGCTGATTCTCAAGAGCACCCATACTAAATTCATCAAGGTCATCAGGATATAACTCAGCCATTCTCATTATTTTTCTGATGTCAAAACTTGAAAATGAGTTAATTGGATTCAAACAAGCAATTCCATGAAGCAACTGAGTTGTCACTTCGTCAAAACGTTCATTAAGTTCTTGAATTTGCCAATATATAATTTTGCAAAATACATCAACCCGATAATGATGTAAGACTGTACAATCATCAGGTTTACGGCGTGATCTTAAAGAACTAACATATAGCTCATCAAACTGAGGTATCAAAATATCATATTTGATACAAAATGCAGATATCTCCTCAATAAGAGAATTCCATTCCTCTTTCCTTAACTTTTGCAACCTTTTCTTTGCTACTTAAACAAGTAGCATGGCGTTTGCAATGTCTTGCTCTTTTTTTTGTAAGCATTTATTGAGCTCATTTGTGATTGCTAAAATATCTCTCATCAAATGTAACATGAATGCAACCTCAAATGTTTGACAAGCCCTGAGATATCCCATTGCCTTGGCTCTTTCATCTGTAGAATGTGCATCAAGAACAAGCGATTCAAGAACATCGAGAATAGAGCCAAACATCAGAATAAAATTATTAAAAGATTTAAAGTGAGATCCCCAACGAGTATCACATGCTCTTGAAAGACCAAATTCTTGATTCAAGCCCCTACCGGTTGTAAGCTCACCCATATCTAATGCCTCTTGAATTCTTTCTTTTTGAGATTCTCGAAATTCATCCATACGCTTAAACGAAGATCCTAATATATTCAAAATATTGGAAACCAATACTACAAGTTCCCCCACTTGAAGACATTTCTTAGAAACCGCAACAAGGGTAAGTTGGAGTTGATGAGCAAAACAATGAATGGAATGAGCCGATCTACTTTCTCTCTTAATCAACATTTTAAGACCATTAATCTCACCTTGCATATTGCTTGCCCTATCATAACATTGTCCACGCACATATGATAAACTTAAGGAGTGTTGATCAAGTAAATTAACAATTGCACTCTTCAAAGATGAAGCACAAGTATTTTGAACATGAACTACATCAATAAGTCGCTCCATCACAAATCCCATTCTATCAACATAACGTAAGACAATCGCCATTTGCTCTTTGCGGGACATATCAAAAGATTCATCAACTAGCAAGGCAAAGTAATCACCATTTAGTTCCTCAATTATAGCTTTAGTTGTTTCTATCTTACATGCAGTTACAATGTCTTTCTGAATTATTGGAGAAGACATTTGATCATTTTGAGGAGCATGTTCCAGTACATAATCACGAATGTTATCACATACTTTTGCATACCATGAGAGAGTTTGAAGAAAATTACCCCTACTAAGTGAAGACTTAGATTCATCATGACCTCGAAATGCTAATCCTTGAGTTATAAGAAGCCTTACTACATTAACTGAAGCAGTTAAGCGAATCCAATACTCATACTTAAGTTGATTAGATTGCCTCTCAAATGAAGATTGAATAGACCGTTGTTGCCGCAAATCTTGGCATTTCTTTTTTGACTCATTGTGAATGCTACTCAATCCATGTTTATCAAAACTTTTCTTTTTATGCCAACTCTTAAACCCTATACTAGAAAATACATCACCTCCACCTTGATGAATATTATTATCTTTAAATAGATAACAATACAAACAATAGGCTGCATCTTTACTTACACTGTACTCCAACCAATCATGATATTCATCATCAAACCATTTAGGATTAAATCGACGCATTGATCCACAAAAATTTGTTTTAGGAAAGTTATGAAGCCGAGGTTGACAAGGACATTGTCGAAGGTATTCTCTTCTAATAACATCACGATGATTTGGATGGAAGTCCAAGATTTGAGTTCTTTCCCCCGGGTCAAACTTTAAAGAATCCAAATCAAATTCATTAGAAGATGGTACTTCTAAATGGTTGATATTCTCCAACTGGATAGGTTGAGTATGAGAAGCCAAATTTTATTTTGGTGCTTTGGTAAAATACCTCTTCACTGAATTTTGAGACTGAATTACAAAGTAGGAATGTAGTTAGAACAAAATTACCTAACCATTTTATCAAACAGCAAGTGTGCATTACTGTAAAAACAAAATTACAGAAGGAAAGTGTTATAAATCATAAGTAATAACTTATAACTTATCTGCTGGTTGCCATACGGATTTCTAAGCTATTTAATTTTAGTTTCCCGTTTCAATCCAGTACTGAATCTAGAAAGACAGAAAGGTCATTTACATTTTAAGTTCACCATACACTAAAACCAAAAAAAAAAAGTTCACCATACACTCTTTCTTTAATCTTCTTTTATCTTGTTTGAATATGTCAAAAAGACAGAGAGGTCGGCGACAGAACAAGATTCAATAACCTAAATTTAAGAATCAACAATAAAACATTAATAAAATTCTGAAAAAGTTAGAAAGAACAAGGAATTTACCTGGGATGCCAATGTCATGATAGATGAAACGCCGGCGACAGGGCGGCGACTGGCGAGGCAATGGAGAGAATTGAGACGCGACTGGTGAGGCAGAAAGATCGAAG